ATAAAAAATTCCCATAAAAACTTCAGAACACAAAATGTGAAACTACAAATTTGTATGTATCTCTACATGGACCCAACAAACCTTTATGCCAAAAGGGGGTGAAGTAGTGGTAAAAAATGCCCATAAAAACCACAAAATGCAAAACTGAAAATGTGTATGTATCTCTCTATGGACCCAATGAACCTTCATACCACATTTAGTGAAGACCCATCCACACCCTATGAAGTAGTTACATGGATGTACAACAGACAGTACTTTTATATTTATATAGATACAACATAATACATTTAATCTCTTGAAAACTGCCAGATATATTTGTTGCTAACTTGGCAAATAATTAATGGCCTCCTTAAGTTGATTGTTTTTACTTGTTACTTTAATGCTAATGTTAACAATGTTTTATTCATAATAATTACAAGAATTAGAGGCATATTTAAGTTTACCTTTTTGAATTGCTAGGTTATTTATCACTAACCCACATATTGTTGCAACTAGATTTTGAATATTTCTTATTGTACCGTTATAAGTTATTTCAGAAAGTCATTTGGATAGTTATTTGTTTATGAAACCTGTAATAATCATTATAAGGTTCTAACTGTAGTGCATAGAAATATAATGAACTCTTAAAATAACTTGTATGGAGCAGCAAAAATAGGAATGTGAACCAATAAAAATGTAATATCTTTATTCTGTTACATACTCTTTTTACTAACCTACTATAGCAATGAAGCCTGTGGTATTTATGTAGATAGTAATTATTAGTTTTTGTTCTACAAAGGTTAGTCAGTTACAAGTGAATATGTCTAATACATTTACAGTGTAATTACTAGTTCATTCTCAGCTTCAGTCCACTTACACATCTCAAGTCATCTGCTGATATTGAAATTAGCTGATTCAAGGTACATACAGTATTTCATCACAATATATGTTTTTAATATTTTATACCAAATTCTCAATTTGATTGACTATTTCAGGCAGGCCTCTCTGCAGCTCCAGCAAGAGCTGTGTCAGCTGTGAAAAATATCAACATACCACAACAGATCAAGGACATCAAGCTTCCAGATCTGCCACATATAGGCAGTTTCAAGTTTTAGCTATAATCTGATCTAAGCTATACAGTTGTAATGAACTGTGTTAGTGTACCTTGAAATATCCATCTGTTGGGTACAGTATTACACAGGGATTAAGCTAAACTTATAAAATTCCACTAAGCTGGCTGCAACAATCTTAGCATTGACTAGAGTGAAGTTTTATATAAATGTGTTTTGTTTGTAATGAAACTATAGAAAATAAAACCTAAATTGTTTATTCACTAAAAGAACAATTTCCAAGTCTTCGAAGCATTTGGTGCATAGTGAAAGTTTTTGAATGTCATTTTACACATCTATGTTGTTATCCTCTAGTAACCAAGTATTTTAACAGGTTAATTTATTTCAAACTTCTGAATTAGATTTTAAATATGTGAGATGGGAAGCCTTTTTTGACTAGTGAATAGAAGTAGATATATTACTTTATATAATTTATGCTTTGTCTTACCATGGAAAAAAAAAATGTAATTATGTTTTAATATTTGTATAAAAAATGAAGTAAGCCCAATTAAAATATTTATAGCGATAAACATAAAATAGCATTCTTTAAATATTTAACTTAATTGACTGTCAAATTGTCTTTACAAAATTTAGATGTGAAATTTCACTCTATACAACTTTTTTCCCCTTATGTCATAATCTTAGTTGAAAATTTTCATGCATGGCATGTTATTGTTGACAGGACTTGTAACTAATTCACACTTATCCAATGAATAATTATAAACACATTATGTCAGTTATCTTTAATAGAACATTTTGTTTTAATAACAATTCTAAAATATTTTGTATGAAAGTAAAGAATATATAATAATATATCAACCACACTATACTTGCCATATACAGTGCCAACAAAGTGCTTCACCCAGTACCAGGGCTGATCATGTCAGATGGAATATTAAAGATATAGTAGTAGTCTATGCCCTACCTATATCATCAATTGCATGAACAGTAACTGTCATTGTGTAAACTAGATTAAGTTAATGATGTGTAATTACTATCAAGTGTATTCAAGTGCTTTCACAACTTAGAGTTACAGTACAGATTAATGACAGTGTTACTTACACTGTCGGCTTACTTACAATCAGAAAATATTACCAATACGTGGAACTAGACCTACAACAAAATGTTGTTTAAAGGACTGATACTGAAATTAATGTGATAACCTTTACTTATTGTATGTAATTGAAACTTAGTGTTATGCATAAACACTAACATAATTGGGAAGGCTAATCATTAGAATTTGAAAGGACCAATTATAATAATATATTCAAATTAAATGACCTAAGTTTGAGAGTTACCATGATTAAATTGTATTGTCAGTTTGGTATCTTTTGTGTTATTTTTGCTATATTTCCAACATAACAGGAGATTCATCCAGATTTAGGTTAGACCATAATCCACATACACTAAGCTATCATTGCCTTTATATCTACTTATAAAAGCTGTTATACATTGGAATGTTTAGGATAAAGAACATAACATATATTCACCCTCAATTGTTCAATAATTATATTTTAGTGTCATTAAATTATTATTGTATGGGATATTCTTTAAACCATACTGGCATTGTCTTCTTACTACAACATCCTTAAAGAAATTGAATGCAGTTCTTATTGAGGTATAATAGTACAGATGAAATCTTTCAGTTTTTTCTTTCTTTATTCTTAACTAAGATTAGTGCTGCATTGAAGATTTATGATGACCAAATACCTCGAACTTTTTTGGGATAAGTTTTATATTTTTTGGGTTAGTTTCTGTATGGGTACAGAAATAAAAAGTAGTCTTATAGACAAAAACTATATAGCTCTGGTCAATTTAGGTATACATATATACATATATATATACTAGCTGAGTTACCCGGTGAAAATTTAGATTTAAAATGTATAAATCAGTATTTTTTTTTCAGCAAGTAGACAAAAGCTGTGATGCGAGAAATGAAAAAAACCATTTAATCAAACAAAGCTTTATTTGAAATTAGATCGTATTTGAGCTTGTCTTGTTTTTTGAGCCTGAAGTGGTACATCATGTTGTTCCTCTGTTTCTTGCTCTCTGTAAGTTATTTGTCTTAATTTTTGTGCTCGAAGTCTGGTTTGACGTTGTTCAGAAGTTTCTTGTTGTCTGTATCCAGCTTGCCTTGATGATTCTGTCTGAACTCTGGTTTTGTGCTGTTCAACAGTTTCTTGCTGTCTTTGAGTAGCCTGCCTTTCAGCTTGAACTCGAAGTCTAAATTTACATTGTTCCAAAGTCTTTTCCTGTATTTGAGCAGCCTGTCTTGCAGCTTTTGCTTGAAGTCTTTGATTGCATTCTTCTTCTGTTTCAGCTGATCTTTGTGCTTGCATTCTTTTAGTGGCAGAAGACTTTCCATCACCTGTATCACTACACAATAATTTGCAATTCACAAAGTTACTAAATCTCTTATGAAACCATTTAGCACTATTTAAAGAAAACTGTTTTTGGAAATACTGAATTGACAGCAAGGTAATCTGAGTGTCTACCACCATAATGCCTTTTATGTGCAAAATGTGCTTATGTTTGTATGTTTATTACAAAAAAAATGGTACAATGATCATTAATTGTCAATTTCGTCATTAAATACTACACCAAATATAAAATAAATAGCACCATTAAATTTCTTGTAAAAAAACTAGTTATTATGAAGTTAGTTTAAAATTTGCAAGTTCAACCATTTGGTTTCCTATAGCAAACAAAATAAACAAACTTCCTCTTTCTATATATATATATAAAGATACATAGATCCTTCAAGATCTTGTTTTTGTCATCTTACGTCTTTTAATGAAGATGGGAACATTGACAGGGAAATAATATAATAGCCAATGCTTGGTGAGAGGTTTTCGTTTATAACATTTTGTTGTTGTTCTAGTCTTGATTTTTATTTTATTACCTTTTCTCCATAGTTACTATTTGCAAATAGTCAATAATATTGTAGGTCCATTTTATTGTTGTTGTTTCTACGCCGTTATAACACATTTTCAGTCTCATCATTTAATTTCTGTTGTGCATATATTGTTGTATGTTTATTACAAAAAAAATGGTGCAATAATCATTAATTGCCAATTTCGTCATTAAATACTACACCAAATACAAAATAAGTAGCACCATTAAATTTCTTGTAAAAAGACTGGTTATTATGAAGTTATTTTAAAATTTGTAAGTTCAACTGTTTGGTTTCCTATAGTGAACAAAATAAACAAACTTTCTCTTATATATATTAGCTTTATAAGGTCAAGGGATCAAAAGTTATAGGCATGCTAAAGGTGACCCCCCCTGAAATTTAAATTTTTTTTTTTTAGATTTTATTTTATTGGAAATTGCATTATAACTTTTGAAAAAAGACAAAATTCATATGGAAAGTAAGCAAGACTGTTTTTTAACCTTCAAATTACTTACTTGATTTTGTACTATTCACTGTTTGTGGAGTCCATTTATACTGAATAATTTTGTTTTTGCTTATCACAACAGTGTGTGTAAAAAAACTGGCTAAACAAATTTGAGTGAAGTCACTCATTCTGTGTGTAAAGTATGTAGGACCTAAGCATTAATTAGTGAGGTTAATTTCAAGATTGATAGTGTTTTTGATAAAATCTTTTTGTGTGGCTCATATGTTAATGTTATTAAGATCCCTCTAATTGGCAGTCATGGTCTCAAAAGCAGTTTGATGTATAAATAGTTTAGAAAATTTTTAAAAGCAGCTGAGGCACAAACCTCATCAGAATATTTAGTTATCAAAGCTTTTGACGTTAAAATGAAACAAAAACATAAATAAATGAAGGTATCTGTGTCTGCTTTTCATTTAGAAAGATATAGGCAAATATTTGTTTACTGTGAAAAAATTGAGCCTGACAACTTTCTATTCCAAAGATATCTGAACAATATCAAGACATATATGTAAATAGAACAAATGTTTTATTTGAATCAAATCACATGACCATCCCAATAATTTGACAACACTTGGAGAATGCAAGCTCATTTTCTGAAAGGTGAATGCCAATAATAATCATATGGCATATGGAGCAAGTAAGGCAAGTACGAGTACTAATCTGTTGACTTCAACTTTTCAAGACAAGTTTGGTTAATTATACTTTTAACTATTTTTAGCAGTTTATGTTGTCTGTTGTCAATAAGTTTAGCAGTATCATGAAAAAATGTATAGTATTGAGTCATCACAACGTTGCCAATCTACCTAAAAGTGTGTGCACTAATTTGTATTTCTTTGTGAAGATTTTCTGAAATGAGAAATATACATTTTGTGAATGCATGCTGGAGTTGATCCAGTATTTTTGATAAGGGGTGAGTTGGGATGCCCTTCCACCAGGTCATGAAACCATTTGAAAAAGTTATTTTTTTTTTTAATTAGATATAGCCCCTTGGTGGCTCAGTGGTAAGTCTTACAGCTTACAACACTAAAATGTGGATTTCTGTACCTGTGGTGGGCAGAACACAAATAACTCATTTTGTAGTTTTTTATTTAATAACAAACAAACAAATTATTATGTCTGAGACTGAGAATAGCTTTGTTTGGTAGTTCAGTGGATTTGCCAGTGGTGTATCATTATTAGCTTACAACTAGAATAATTTATCATGACTAATATAAAAATAATAATATATCAATATTCTTTAGAAAAAATCGTTTGTGTTAGGAAGACAAATAAAGAAGTTGCCAATATCCAAAGTTCGTTGTTGGTTTTTCCCCCCATCTTTTAATGTACAAATTTGTGTGCTTTTCAGTTGAGTTATTGATGACATTGTATCTAATAATACCAGTTTTTTAAATTTTATAATATATATATATATTTAAATGTGTTAACACATATGAGATTACTATTGATCAAAATTAATAAATATTAATATTAAGAAAATCAAAATAGTTCAGTATTTTATTGTTCTTGTAGTTAAGAACATAAAATAATGATGATATTAGAGTCCAGTTTTTGAATTCTTGCTTTATCGTATTTAATGGAGTTATAAACATTACAGTTTTACTACTTAAGGGTTCGGATTGCAAAATTAATCTTAATTTATTTTTATTTTATAAATAAATAAATAAATTTATTTTATAAAGTTGTAATGT